ACTGTACTTTCTTTCTAGATACTTCCTACTGATGCAACTGCAGATATTGTTTCTCTTTCCCTCAGCTGGTCCTTCACTGCTGATCTGTGCCTGACAAATCAAGCTTCCTGAGGTCTCCCTCAGGATAACCTCTACTATAACTGTAGAACAGAGATGATTCTGAAATCAAAAACAAGAAAATAAAGTGGAATATGTTAAAGCCACAACTTTATATAAACTTTATATAAATACACCCTTTATATAAATGCACACTGGAAATTTTGCTCTAAGCATATTTACTGACTTTTAAAATCTTAATATGAGTTTACTTGATTTTTCAACTTGTAATCATACGCAGATCCAAAGCTATGAGATAGGAAGTCTTTGTAGCTACAAAGTGTTAATAATCCTTTGAACTTGTGTATGGAAAGGCCTGCAATGACTAGGCAGGGATGAATATGATTACATATGTTCGAGGAAGCTCTGATTCCCAGCAACATGGCTATTTTGGTAGATATTTGGTAACAGTTTTATTAAAAGAACATTATATTAAAAAAAAAAAGAAAGTAGTTGGAAAACACAATGAGACGAGATGACTCTAAACCTTATCCCAGGAAGAAGTTGTCGGAAGTGCATTAAGATTGGAAACAGCTATGGTTCTCTTTGACAGTATTTAATAAAGTTTTGAATCATTGTGATGGGTGAAACTGGCAGTTCTGTCGGTACTTGCAGTGATTTACATATGGTGTCATCATTAGAGAACTTGAAAGACAATTGCACACAGTATTCCTCTGGTGAATTGCATGATCAATTCTTTTCTTGACAGTCTGGGTGGCAATGAGCAGTGGCTGGGATCAGCCTCCTTCAGTCATTTAAGGTCTTACAGAAGGTGTAGTTTTATGCAGCATCTGGTTTTCTTGACAGCACTGTTTGGAGAATACAACCAGGAAGAGAAAGACTGATAACATCCTAAGCCCACTATCAGTTTTGTCAGCTTAAGAATATGGGAGTAAACTCCTGAGTGACCTGAGTTTGTTGGAATAGGAGCATTTTGAGCGCTCTCATTTGCTAAATAGCATTAGAACAAAACAGGATGTTAAGTGACAAGGATACTGATGAAAGATTCTGGCATCACTCCTTTTTGAAGATACTGAATTCTAATTAAAAATAGTCTGTTACCTAGCTCTGCTTCTGTGTGGTTAATGTTTTAGTTTTATTTAAAATGTCTTGTCAGCTGTTACTTAATTGCACAATGGATCAAGATTTAATTAGCAAGTGGGTTTTTCTTAATAATTGAAGCTTACCGCTTAACAAAACAGCAATTGAAATATTTGATACTAACGTAATATCATGCAATATCAGCTTTTCAACTTGCTAATGATGTCTGTGACTAGATAGGACATTTTCATAATCTGTAATTGTTGAAAGTAGCAAGTTAATAATGAAGACTGAAAACCTGTTTAGCAAACATGTAAGAATACTGACATTCTGGTTACTTATTTAATCATTTGATGAAAATCATGTCATTATTATTATCATCTTAATAAGATTCATGGGCTTTCAGATATGTATTGGAAGACTATACAGGAAGATTATACAGGACCTTTTCAGATGGCTTCCCTGCTTGTTTTTTTCCTTTTTATTCCTTTTGCAATAGAGTCATGGAGTAACCTGTTAATAAAATATATGGTCTGTTTGCTATGTAAATGTACTCATCTAATTTAATTAGAATCAGTAATGACAGCTAAAAAATGGTAGCAGTGGTAAGAGAGTTGGTAAGACATGTGGAACACCCCTTTTATAATAGACACCTTTTTTTTATAAACAAGGAGTTCATTAATAGTTTGGGGGAATGAGACTGACATACAAATTGCCTCAGCACGGTGTCTGAAAATAACACACCTATAGTAGGCTGCTATTAAAAGATTATAAGAGCATCGACAGGATGGGTGAGCTGCAGGCTGCACACATCTTTGTTTATTTCTTTAACATGCTTTTTCTTCCTGTATGTTGTCACTGTTAAACAAAACATTGATGACTCAGTCATTTTTGACCACTTGCTGACTACTCATTTAGGCTTCCTGGTAGGAAGAACTGAAGATAGTACGAAACAGCTGCAGCCACACTGGCTAATTGACTATGCACAGCTGGTTTGCAAAGCTGGGGAGCTCAGGGCATGGCCTCAATGTGGGGGGCTGCCAGGCAATGGGCCAGAAAGCCAACAGGAGTACAGTTAATCATCTCAACAGAAAAATTGTATTCATCTCACAGGCTCATACTGTGAAATTATTAATATGAATACAAACCAATCAATGGAAATATAACATAAACATAGTAAATAATAATCACGGAATCGCAAAGTCATAGAATATGCTGAGTTGGAGGGGACCCCCAAGGATCATCAAGTCCAACCCTTAGCCCTGCACAGGGCCATCCCCAAGTGCCTGAGAGTATTGTCCAAACTCTGTCAGGCTTGGTGCTGTGACCACTTCCCCAGGGAAACTGTGTGCTGGACATTTTGTCCAGAGGGATACTGTGAGAAAGAGTATCAAAAGCTTTTTTGAAATCTAAAAAAGATTCCACCAACTGGCTTCCCTTGATCAACTAGGTGGGTTACCTTGTCTTATCAGGAAATCAAGTTGGATAAGCAGGACTTTCCTCTCATGAAGCTGTGCAGGCTGTGACCAATGACTGCATTGCCATTCAGGTGTTTTTCAATACTTCCCAGAATAATCTTCTCCATAACTTTATTAGGCACTGAAGTGAGACCGACAGGCCTGTAGTTTTCAGGGTCTTGCCTCTTGACTTTCTTGAAAATTGGGATATGAGACCCAGCTATCTCTATGTCTAGATGGAATCACGAGTTCATTATTGTAGTACTATGAGATCTAAAAAATTAACTTTCTTATGAGATACTTTCAGTGTATGAAATAAACATAAATTCAATATGATTAAAATGGATTTGAAACATTAATCATGTCAGTATCATTTCCACACTTTGCTGTAAGAAGCTGTAGAAGTCAATGTGCTATTTATAAATTGCATATTGACTCAAGATGTTATTTCACAACATCATAAGGAGATTATATGTCTAAACACTCTGAGTTGTGAACACCTTACATTTGGTTAATTGAGATATTATTTTATAGAAAATGTGAGTAAAAATGAAAAATAAGCCCCTTAATGATGACTTATAACTACAGTTTTAGTGGGGAGATGTACATTTTACCTTGTTATGTATAAATCCATATTTACTGAAAAATGGAAGATGAGTCATGTGGAAAAAAAAGAAAGGTGACAAAGAATATGCAAATACTGTAAAGACAAATCTTCATATAGCAGTGCCACCAAATGCAATAGTTTTTGGATGGTGTATCAAGACAAAAATGTAAATAAAATTATACCTAACAATGAGAGACTCAGACCAGCTGTTTCTAAAAGACATTTTCCTACTGCTTCCTTGAGCCTCAATTTTACTCTCTGGTTATTTAATTATTGCATAGACTGTCACACTAGTCCTTCTTGAAAAATTGTGATGATGAGGATATTGGTCCTAACTTCAAATCTGAAGAAGTCAGGAGGGAGGTTTTCTCAAAATCCGTTCATTTTCTGTAGATTTTGCAATATCTAAATTTTACTGTCCTAAGCATAATCCTTTAAGAAACCTCTTTGCCCTGGTAAGGTGAGAAATGGGCCCATCTGTGAACTTCAGATGAATTTAGTGCAAAGAGTGTCTTTGATGATAGCACTTTCCCCTTCTTTGAAACAACTGCTGCATTTCCCTGAACTGATGTAATCAAGTCACAAGTTATCAATGAGGGCATCTTGCAAACTCCTGTAAGAATTGCTGAGTTCAAGACAAAATCCCATGGAGATTAGCTCCACACTGAGCACTGGTGGTGTGAACAGCTCTGCAGCTCTGCAGAGCTCATTTCTTCTCTTTGGCCTTCTGTTTTGGATGTGTAACTAATACCATAGTAGAAATTTTGGATAAACTGTTTAAATTATCAAATATCAAAAAAACTAGAGGACCATTTTCTACAGTAACTAAACTTCCTCTTTGTAATGTTGTTTGAGACATAGGCATCCAGACGTGACTGAGAAGTAAATAACGAGTACCTTCTCAACATCTGTCCAAAAGTTGGGCAGACAAGACTAATGACTCAATTGCACTTTGACAAGTGGAGAGAAAAGAAATGCTACATTTATTTATTGTTTTGTGCACTGCAAAGAAGATACGTGGGGTACCCTACAGCAATTAAACAGGATGTCAGCAGGAGGCCATAGGCCTTCTCATTGACCAGAGTTATTGTATCCTTCCTTCTGCAACTCTGCTGTCTAGATGAATACTTCTGGCATACTGCAAGCTCATTGAAGTAGGAGCTTTGGTCCGTATTTATATAGCTTGTACAAATACCAGTGCGTCTTGGTCCAATACTGAGTGTCCCAGTTCCTACCACAACACAAATATGAAAGCAATTAATGATACGGCAACATGTTGTAATTGAAAAAGACTGTGCAGCTTCTTTAGACCAGTGGACACCACATCTGAAATAGGAAACTCTGAATGGGCTCTGTGATGTTGTTTGCTTTTCACTGGAGTACTGATTAGTCCTTGTGGTATCACCCTGGGAAATAAATTCAATCCACCGCTATATGTAGTGATCCACATCTTTAGTGAAAGCAAGTGAAACACATTTATGCTAAAGCAGCTCAAGGGATTAAAGAATGAAAGGGAAATGATCTTTGCAAGTCAGATTTAAATCATTCAGACAACTGAAGATCCAATAATAATAAAATCTTCAGGTTTCCAGTTCTAGTTGCTGTATGCTGCAGCAACGTGGTCGTTACTTCTAAATACACTGTGGGAGCGAGGGAGGAAGGTGGAAAAACTCCACTGAGCACTGAATTCTCATGGTTTTGTCTGTCACAGCCCTCGGCGCGGGACTACAACCCCCAGCAGCCCCCGCGCGGCCCGGCGGCCCGTTCGCGCACCCAGCGTGCCGCGCGCGGGGCGCTGTCGTGGCGCTCGCGGGTGAATGAGGCGCGGCCGCGCCGCCGAGCCCCGCTGCGGCCCCGCCGAGGTTTCGGCCGCCTCCTCCTCATCTTCCTCCTCTTCGGCTGCCTCCTTCTCCTCCTCCCGTGGCAGGCTCTGAGCAGAACCATGAGGCGCGCGGGGCTGGGTAAGCGCGGCTGCAGGGCCGGGCTGGGCTGCCTCACGGGCAGGGCCCGGCCCCGGGGAGGGTCTGGGGCAGGTGGGGCGGGAGAGGGGCTGTGCCCGTGGGCGCAGGGCTGCAACGGAGCTCGGAAGCTTTTTGGGGGAAACGCCGTCACCCCTGCTTCTGCCTCTTTCTGGCTGAGCTGGATTTACGGAGCAGCGCTGCGGTTTGTATTTATCATAGAATCATAGAATGATTTAGTCTGGAATGGACCTTAAAGATCATCTAGTTCCAATCCCCCTGCCATGGGCAGGGACACCTTCAACTAGACGGGTTGCTCAGAGTCCCGTCCAACCTGTCCTTGAACACCTCCAGCGATGGGGCATCCACAGCTTCCCTGGGCAACCTATTCCAGTGCCGCACCATCCTCACAGTAAAGAATTTTTTCTTAATATCCAATCTAAACCTACTGTCTTTCAATTTGAACCCATTCTCCCTTCTCCTGTCACTGCATGCTCTTGTAAACAGTCTTGGCTCATTTAGCTCTGATGATGATGTTCCAACGTGGTGTTAATTTGAGCCGTGTTCCCATGGATGGACAGATTTGTCACTCTTCAGTCAAGTCCTTTCCAATTTGGAGGTTTTTTTTTATTTTGGTACTTCTGTATGTTTTCCTGTTATGTTTGCGGGGGGGGGGGGGGGGAACAAACACCCCCAACTATTATAAATTTGTTACAAATATAATCTGGTGCAAATGCAGAAATCTTTGCAGAGTTCCTGCTGAGTGTTTTGAGCAGCTTAGGCCTCATTTTTCAGCCAGCAGTCATGTTGATGACTGTAAGGAAACTTTGAACTCCCAGGTCATGTTCTGCAACCACGTGGGTGCTATGACTGCATTGTTAAGCTTAGGGGATGTTTATGCCCCAGAAGTTTATGACTGAGTTCTGGTGCTTCTTCCTAGAAAGTATTTAGAGGCGGTAAATGCCACGTGGCTTAACTAAGTGTGTCTAACACCAGCTTACGTTTACTTCTACATTTTAGATTTGTGTCATGCAATGGTATTTTCATGACATAAAACAAGCCTTGGAAACACTTCTTAGTAGAGCAAGAGAGGTGTTGGGATATTTATCATAAAAAAGTGGGCATTTGATAGGGCTTAGATATTCAGTCCTTTCCTTTGTCAGACTGACAGCTTGCTGTTGAGTATGAACTGAGAGGGATTGGATTGGAGGCCACCCAGTGCAGTGTGCTGTTTCTGAAGAGGTGATGGATGTTTGTGCAAGGAGCGCTGAAGAAAGAGAATGCTTTCTTTTAGGTTGATTCTGGCAAACAGTGCCTTAAGAATCATCCTGAAACTGCTTTTTAAGAAAGTCTGCTGGAAGGTCAAGCAGAAGACTGAAATGTCTGTTATCAGCTGCAGTAAAATTTTCTGCTTTACCTTGACATTTCACCTGTCAGTTTAGAACTATTTTTTATGTAATAGTCTGGAAATAGAAGCTGGGCACCAGCACTTAGGCTGTTGTCATCATCTACCTGGTACCTCTTTTTTAGCCTGCAATTGTGTTATGGCCATGTCCCTGTTACGTGTCAATGAGCAGTGTTGAGGGACTGTCCATAGAACTGCCACGCTGGACTTTCTGCCCTTCCCACAAACAGCTGTAGCTAAATGTCTTCATTGTGCTTCCTATGACATTTAAAGAAGCAGCCATGCCTGTTGAAAAGCTTTGGGGCAGTTGTTCATATCTGCATTGTCACAGTCCCTGTAAGAATCATAGTGTTTTGGCATGAAGCTGTGTGGTGTATTAACTTATAGACACACTCAAAATTGTGTCACAAAGTACTGTAGTTAGATGCACTTGTAAAACAGACACAAGTGAGAACAACCCTAATTCTCTAAATGATAGAATTTTAGTCAGATTTCTGTATATGACATTGGCACTTTTGATTTAAGTGGGGGAAAAAAGGCTTCTTGACTCAGTGTGGTGAAATGAAAACATATATTTCATTGCAGTCAACAACTCCCTTATGAGGAGAAGAGGAGGGGCCGGCACTGAACTCCTCTGATGACCAGTGACAGGACTGAGGGAATGGTCTGAGGCTGTGTTTAGAGGAGGTTTAGGCTGGATTTTAGGAAAAGATTTTTCACCCAGAGGGTGACTGGACATTGGAACAGGCTCCCCAGGGAACTGGTCATAGCACCAAGCCTGACAGTTCTAGAAGCGTTTGGACAATGCTCTCAGGCACACGGTGTGATTGTTGGGGTTTTCCTGTGTAGACGCAGGAGCTGGACTTTGATGACCTTGTGTATCCCTTTGAATTGAGAATATTCTGTCATTCTGTGATTCAGTCTTGTTGAGGATCTGTCATTAGCTTAACTTGTAGAGTAACAATTTACAAGTACAAATTAAAAAATTGTCATTACTTAGATTTAAGGAATGGCTTCATGGGTTCATAAAATGATATCTATTGTCAAAATAGCATTGTAATTCTCTTTTAAAATATTAATATTATGTATGCCAAGCACACAATGAAATTATTTGAAATGGAGTTTTCTCTGTGATTGGGATTGGTGTCTCTCTTCTCACCCTTTTTCCTCAAAAAGAAAAAATCCTCCACAAACACAAAAATCTTTACAGCATATTTAAAGTGCAGTCAAAGGCATTCAATTTTATTGTGCCATTCTGGCTAGCTATATAAATATATATTAATGTTACAAATGGATTGTTAGTTGAATTAATCTAGTGGAATCTTTGTCATAAAGCTTATAGTAGTTCTTTTCTGTTTGCCTTTCTAAGTCTTGATCTCTCTTTACTTTTTTCAAATCTTAGATTTGAGGTCTAAGACTGATTTTTGTCCTGACTGGACGTGGCTTTAATTCTCCGGTGCCTATGCTGCTGTCCAGCTGCTGTCTGTAGGAAATCTTTATTAGAGGTTGGAGGAAGTGAATGTGTGGAGCTGAGCAGCTTTCACTCCTTTCTGCCCTGCATACTCTGCTGCCTTCAGTTGTCTGGATGACAGTCCTGAATCTCCATCACCTAAAACGCCCAGGCAGGTGTGGGAATAGAACTGCAGAATGGTGACTGAAACAGAAATGCTCTGCTCAGAGGCCTGGCTTCTGCTCTCAGGTCTTGTTTGTAGAGAAACTCATGTAAGGATCAGAGTATGGTTTTCCCTTTAAATATGTAATCAAGTGATATTTGTCTTTGTTAGAGGATGGTCTCAACTCTCCTATTTTCAGTTTGGTTTCCCACATGTAGTGGCCTCAGTGCTTCCTTCACATCTCTGTGTAATGCCTGGGTTGATTCCATAGAACTCATCCGAAAACACTGTCAGGAGAAAAATTTGATAGTGCTAAATTACAGCCATTCTTCAGTTTTTCTTTTATTTGCATATTGAAAGGTAACTTTCACATTTGGAAAAGGTAACTTACACATTTGAGTCTCTTGTCTCAGGAGCATGCAAATCGCTTGTTCCAATGGTGTTTTCTGTCTGTAACTACAGACTGTTGTGTTTACAGGTGAGGGAGCACCTGCAGGTAACTATGGCTACACCAGCAGTGGATACAGTGTTTATGAAGAAGAGAATGACAGGTTAACAGAAAGTCTGCGTACGAAAGTCAGTGCCATTAAATCGGTATGTATTTAATTACAGTGATATTGTCACATTTATTGAATTAAATTATATGAATCAGTGAAGCAGTAGACTTACTTTAAAACATAAATTTAATACTGTGGTGAGTTAACCATGGCTGGATGCCAGGTGCCCACCAAAGCTGCTCTGTCACTCCTCTCCTCAGGTGGATGGGGAGAAATAAAACCAAATCTCCCTTCTTCCTGGCCTCGACTTCCTCCCCCTCAGCAATGCAGAGGGGACAGGGAATGAGAGTTGGAGTTTGTTCATCACACATTGTCTCTGCCACTCCTTCCTCCTCGCTCTCTTGCCCTGCTCCAGTGTGGAGTCCTCCCATGGGAGACAGTCCTCCATGAATTTCTCTAACATGGGTCCTTTCCATGGGCTTCAGTTCTGCACTGACTGTTCCAGCGTGGGTCCTTCACTAATTGTTCCGATGTGGGTCCCTTTCATGGGATGCAGTCCCTCAGGAACAGGCTATTCCAGGGTGGGTCCCTCACAGGGTCACAACTCCTGACAGCACACCTGCTCCAGCTTGGGCTCCTCTCTCCTTGGAATCACAGGTCCTGCCAGGAGCCTGCTCCAGTGTGGCCTTCCCACAGGGTTACAACCTCCTTTGGGCATCCACCTGCTCTGGCCTAGGGTCCTCCATGGGCTGCAGGTGGATCTCTGCTCCACTGTGGACCTCCATGGGCTGCAAGTGGACAGCGTGCTTCACCATGATCTGCACCATGGTCTTCGGGGAAATCTTTGCTCTGGTGCCTGGAGCACCTCCTCCTGCTTCTTCTTCTCTGGCCTTGGTGTCTGCAGAGATCTTTCTCCTACATGTTCTCACTCCTCTCTATGCAACTGGTCTTGTGCAGTTTTTTTGCCCTTCTTAACTATGTTATCCCAGAGGTGGTACCACTGTTTCTGATGGGCACTGCCCTGACCAGTCATGAGTTTGTCTTGGAGCAGCTGACATTGGCCCTTTTGGACATTGGGGAAGCTTCTGGCAGCTTCTCACAGAAGCCACCCCTGTAGCCCCCCCACCAGTACCAAAACTTTTCAAAAGTTTCCAAACCCAATACAAATACAAGAAATAATTAATGTCAGCCAAGATGCACAATTATTCATGTGTAAAACTGATTCTTTCTTTAATTAGTTTTTTAAGCTAGAGATGTCCTTTTTTGTCTACCTTGAGCACACCTGTGGTGTAACTTATGGCTTACTGTCCTACAGAATGAATTACTATCCCTGCAGAAACTAAAATCTTTGAGTTTAGGTCAGTAACCCTGTTTCATTTAAGAAAATGGACTACTACTTTTTGGTCTTATCGCTACAGCTCACCAGTTTCTGCTGTATCTGCTTATAAATGTGTAATGTGAAAACTGCTCTTAGAAACAGCATGCTGATATCCTCTGAAGAAGTTGTTCTAATGATTCTGATTCCTTCCAGAGACTGAGGACTTGTTTCAAACAAGTCTAACTGAAAGACAGCTCTGTGATTAAAATGATGTCAGTTTCTTGTTCTTAAAAACTACAACTTTTGTCAAATACATTCTTAGCAATAGGTACTCTTTCTACATGTAGAGTACAAGCTAATGAATTCTTTCCATTGAAATTCTGAACTCATTCAAAGTCCTATTGCTAATACTGCTGCTTAAATGTAATTTGTTTAGTCTCAACTAGAAACTAAAACAGATTTAGAATAAGAATTTAGAATAAGTTAAGGGGGTAAAAAGAAAAGCTTTGACCTTTGTTAGCAAATTTTATTTCTTGTCTTCTTCTTGGTATGTTACATTTCAAAATTGATGTATGTTGACAGTGCAGTTGGCAGTGCCCCAAGGAGCAGCACATGTGCTCTTTCTGCAGTTGCATCTTTTAGTGCAACATAATAATCTTAGTGTATGGAGTAACCTTCAGATAATCTTCCCAAAAGCCTCATGTGAAATCAGTTTCACTCTTGCTTTGCTATAGATTGCACTGAAATGCAGCAGTAACAAATAATGAGATTCAGGCTGTGACACATAAAACCAAACGTGTTCAGTCTAATCCAAAGCATGGGGGCCTGGAGCACATTTCCCTCCATTCTAGGACTTGAGCTGGTTGTTCAAGGCCAGTGTGCTGCTAAGAACTGTGGCAGAGGAAAAGCTGCTAAGAATTAGGATCAGTGTCAGTTCTCCTTTGTTTGATTCCAGAGCTGCTTTTAAGCCAAGACTCTTCTGGCTGGCTCCCGTCTTTGAGATGTTGCAGCTCCATCTGTGCCTGGTCTCATGTCTCCCTGATTCCAACCCTAACCCAGGTTCACTCTGTGGCTTGACCTTGGACTGTCTTGGGCTGCTCACCAGGCTGTTGCTGGCCCTGGTCACGATCTCAGGACTGACTCTCCCTGGCCTATGCAGCTTTCCTCTTGGTCCTGTGGCTCCCTTGCTGTGACACAAAGCAGAGAAGGGCTACACAAGTTCACTAAAGAAAATCCCATTTACAGCATAACAGGAATTTGTCAAAAGAGACGCTTTAGCAGGTTACATGCGTCAGCTCGGGCTACACTGAGTCAAACGGGTGCTCATGGTCCTTTGTGCTGTGTGCCAGCAGTTTTAACAGTTGTTCCAGGAAATGGGCAATTGCTACTTTAGGCTTGACTAGATCTTGAATTTTTGAAAGTCCATGCAATAATTCTAATATGACATTATCTGGAAGAGGACCACTGAGCACCTTCTGTGACTCTTTAGACTCACCTGATGAAAAATCTTTTCTTATGAGTTATTGATAGAATACTATGCATGTTATTTTGTTTTTTGAGAATATCAGGTACTGTTTTCACATTTTTTCCTGGGGAAATGCTAGTCATGTTATGTATTTTAGACTGGGTTCTCTAATCTATGTATAACTGATTACTCATGCTTCATACTTTTTGGTGTTTTTCAACAGCTTTCCATTGAAATTGGAACAGAAGTTAAAAACCAAAATAAAATGTTATCAGAAATGGTAAGTATGTAGTAACTAAATTTCTTTAAATATAGGGCAGGATTAAGAATTTAGTAATGTAAAGCATCCTGGTTTTTAGTATGAACATTTTTATTAAAATGTTGACAGCTTATTGACTGTAACATGTGACTGATTTGGTAACAGTATTTCTGTTCAAAAAGATAAGATGTGCAAATATGTTACTTTCAAGGCACAACCAAGGCCTTTTTACTTCAGATATGACTATTGATTTTCAATTAGAAAATGTATAGTACTATTAAAGAGGCAGTTCTATATTTAATTGTATTCAAGAATAGAAGAAGGAAGCAAAAAAATTACAAAGTCAGAAATGCCTTTTTTTCTTGCACTTTGCTTTGGCTTGGGGAAAAAACAGCACTGGATAAATGGGTGAAAGTTTTTCATGGTTAATTTTTACCTCTAAAATAATTTTAGTTTTGGAAATTTTGAAAAAACAAGGAAAACTACACTTAGCGAGCTGTAAGGGTATTTCTTTTCTCAGAGTAACCTGTTTTTTATTGCTTTGTTTGCTTGGTTTTTTTTTAAATGTAGGAGAATGATTTCGACTCTACAGGTGGACTTTTAGGTGCAACTATGGGCAGACTGAGAACACTCTCCAGAGGAAGCCAGACAAAGCTATTATGTTATATGATGCTCTTTTCATTGTTTGTTTTTTTTGTAATATACTGGATTATTAAACTGAGGTGATGCACGGTACCTCTGGTTTACATTGTGTAATTTCAACTACAGTCTTAATTAATGAAGACATTGATCTAAAGTGGCATATTCTGTTGATAAAAAATGGTGAAATTGTTTAAATTGCATTAACTATTAATGCAATGGTATATATCGTTTTCTTAATATGTCAGAATTTTTCCCATCATCCCCTGTTTTGGGGGGATTGTTTGTAAATACACAGAAAGTGCATAGTAGGTGGCTTTTTTTAAGGGAAAATAGTTTTTAGAATTGATTTTAAAAATACAGAAAACAAGGGTTTTTCGAATATGAAGTAATTGCAGAATTACAAGGCTTTCTCTTTTATTCTGCTTTTCATTCTGCACCATGCTCTAAATTAGAGCTCCAGTTTCAGGCATGTAGTAATTTCTAGATTGCAAAAGCATGAAGAATACTTGGATCTTTCTAAATTGGTTTTATCTGTGGATTTTTAAAAGGCTGGCCTGAAGCTAACAAATGTAAAAGTGGTACCACCAAAAATTACTTTTGTGGCTAGATCTGGTAGTGTTTAAGTAGCTTAAACTGTGTGCTTAAACGGTATTTTGGGGAGAAGTTACTTACAACTGGATTTTATTTTTTAATTCAAATGTGACAAATCATGCTTACACATCTCTTTTAAGCAAATGCCTTTGATCATTGGGGTCAATCAGTATGGACACAGAACAAATGTTTTCTTTATATTTAAAGTATCAGAACTTAATGATTCCATTGAATCACAAACTTCTACCATTAGGATGTTTACTTTTCAATTTGTGATGGTCCCTAGATCTACACTGCATGATGCCTGAAATACAAGGGCAGGTATTTTGAATTTTATATTAAAGTAAATTATGATGCACCTTTTGGAGGTGCAGTCACAGTAAGGTTTTTTTATTTTGAAGACTTAGCTTTGGCTCATCAAATAGTTTCTAATCGTTGAAGCTATTATATTAATGAGTTTAATGTACAAAAAAATTAAGTTTCCTAGATATTGAAGTTGTATCTACAATTTTTGAAAGACTTTTCTAGAAATACTGTATAATGTGTTGCCATTAATAACTAATTATGAAGTGTCAAATAAAGTGTCTTGTAGTATTATTCTAGCTAGTGTTGTTCATATACATTCTTCTCTATTGTAGAATACCAGTATAATTTTTGGAAATGGTGCTGCATTTAAGGGCCATTTTTTTTTTTTTAAAATCCATAATACAGGCTGTCTCTTCTGGCTTAAATGACTGTTTTAGGAAGAGTTTCAGTAATTACGCACAATTTTCTTATTAACACATTTAATATTTTTCTTTAATAATTACACACAAAACATGGTACTTTGCTGCTGAAGTTCAGGCCTCCAAAACCTTCAGATACAATTAAAGAGTTGTTTATGGAATTCTGGAAATAAAAATCAACCACTACTCTCATCACCAAAGATCCATGACAGAGTTGATGTGAACTTGGCAAAGATGACACAGCTCATTGTCATGATTGCTTGCTAAAAGTGAAAGATAGGGAAGGTACCTGTAATTGAGAGCAAAGGCACTGTTCTAGTATTTGGACATGGCAGAGAATCATTTGTGCCTTAATTATGGGTCTTAAAAGCAAAGCTCTGCTGAAATTAGATTAAACTACTAATGAAATTGTAGCTGTATCTATATAGAAGTTCTGTTTCTTAATTGGTGGCGTAGATGCTCTAAAATGTAGATAAAGCTTGATTAAAGAACACATTTTTTCTGTGTGCTTAGCATGGATCATTGAAAAACTTCAGTAACGTACTGAAAAAATGGAAAAATACCTTGCAGGAGGCTGCATTCTCTCAGGCTGCTCTGTATCAACAGAATTGTGACATTGGAGAACACATAGAATGGTAATGCTGAAAGACCTGGATGTGCATTTTGATGACAAAATTACCGTTAAGTTTTCTACTCAAAATGTACTGGCTGTTTACCTTCAGTGTGCAGTACAAGCCATGCTCTTGCTGTCTTAATTTTCCAGAAAGAGTGGAGCTGTTTCACTTGCTTGGAAGTATTTCCATGTATTTGCATATGATGGAAAGCATGGTTTCATCTGTCCCACCTCCTATTGACATCAATCTCAAGTCTCTGTAGAAATATAAAGAGTAGATTTAGACATGTTCGTGCTATTCTGACGGTTTTCTGCTGGGAAACCCGATGAGATTACCTACATGTGTCATACTAATTCCAGATGCCTGCAGAACACCTCATCCACTGCCTCCTCCTGGGGAGGTGGTCTGTGATACTTCCCTCAGTATCCCTGCTGGTCCTCTCCCAAAGCGGTAGGGGCCTAAGCCTGCAGTTGAACTTTAAGAGGGGAGGGAGTTTTTCCAGGGCCAGCAGCAAAAAGTGTTGCAGCCCCTAATTTTGATGAACTGTGTGGTAAATGAGAGTCAATCAGTACATGAGAATTGTACAGAGAGGGTACAATTTTCATTCAGGTTTTTTAACCAGTAAGCATCCTAGTCTCCCTAATGGCTATGTGAGATCTAGCTGCTGTGCTTTAAAAAGGAATGGCTACTCCAAGAATATTTACTTTCAGTTTGATATATCTAATCACAGTCATTTAAAACCTGCCATTAACATCACTGAGTCATCCCTAACAGTATTGCCTTAGTTTCCTGTGCTAGCCAGATTGCAAAATACTGCAACCTCAAGCAACTTTACTCACAAATTTCTTTTTTCCTTTGGGGAGAATTAAAAACCACCATCGTCAACAAAAAAACCTACCAAAACAGTTCTAAACTACCTCTACTTAATAATCTGAAGATTCCCCACCTTCCTACAGGCCTTGTTGAAGGCTGTGGAGCTGGAACAGTGGTAGCTTACTTGTTCTTAGTGCTGCAGTGTTGTCTGCTTTGTCAAGCTGCAGAAAGCCCCTGCCCATGCTCAGCATTTTGCATCTTCACTGTAGCACCAGCAGGACTCCTCTGTGATGCCAGTAAGAATCCTCCATTTACAGCAGGAGTCCTGGACACATGGCTTGTTTATAAGATGTTAGAAATGGGCACTGGTTTTGGTGGCGTGTGTGACAGACAAGTCAGGTTATCATGTATAAAGACACGTTTTAAAAAAATAAAACACCTTTCACATATGTTTTGTGCATGTGTGTGGCTTTACAAGGTTGCTAGTAATTATGTTTTTGTAGGATTGAGATAAGGAGTATTTCTTATATAATCTACAGAGAGGTGACTAATGGTGATCTCTCTCCTGGGGAGACAGGGTGGAAGGTTTCTCCTAATTTAACCAGATCAAGATGACAAAAGACTCAAGTGATTTTAATCTAGCAACCCTCTTCTGGGAAAGAGGCTTTCAGAATAAGAAAACAAAATCATGGGACCAGCTATCCTGCCAGGAACTGCAAGGAAGCTGGGAAAGAGGACATAGTAAAGTAAGCTTTTATATCAGCTATTTATTGTATGCTTTTGGTTTGATAGTTTATATTATATCAATAATGCATAGTTAATATGGCACATAAATATTTTAATACCTATAAATATTAGAACTTAATTGCTTTACCTCTAGAATCTTTTCATCTGGCACAGTGACACTTTGCTTTCTGATTTCTCCATCGCCTTGTTACTGCCTCATGACAGAGCAGCAAGTCCTGCTCTACTACAGCCCCACTGAGGTGAGCACCGACCTGTCATGGCTTCACCCTGACCAAGGACAGTTAGGAACCAGCCTGCAATACACCATGCAGTTTTGTGAAGGTGTCATTCTGAGGGACCAAACTTCTAGCTGCTTGTTGAGTGCTGAGGGAGTGGGAGTTAGCCTGAGGAAAGAGAGAAATCCAGCTATTGTGTTCTATCCCTCTAAAACACTCCCTGCAAAGAGTTTCTTCTCATTCAGGAAATGCTGTGCATTTGATACACTCACTATAGAGTATAAGACTTATCCTACTCAACCAGATCAAGAGATGTAAATGTTAAAAAAGTAATCCAACTTTTTGACAAAGAAAAAGTTCTTAAAAGCTGAGTTAAAAAACTACACTTATGAGGGACCGTAAGGAGCCATTCCCACTCAATCCAGGTTATCAATAATTTCTAGTTATGTAGCAAAAGGAACAAAAAGAACCCCCTATGTTGTCAAATCATGTTTCCCATCTCCATAGGTAATGTCATATAGCCTTCAGAAATGTGTCAAGCACTGCTTTAAGGAGAAAAAACAAGCTCCCTTTAATCTTGGACTATCCTAATTTGAAGGCTGTCAGATAACAAAGTTATTCAAATGATTGGGAACCCTCTAATTTACAACCTGGATGTGTTTCTGAGTAGTATAATCCAATATAGTCCGCAGTTTAACATTCCTCTGTTGGCTGATGTTGACCCCTCTGCGTTCTGAGGGCCATTCAGCCTTTGCTTCGCACAAGCTAAGCCATGTCCATTACGCTGCCTATAAAGCAGGCAGCCATGCCACAGCTCATGGCACTATAAATCTGTCTCTAGCTTCAAGCTGATAAAATGTGATGGTGTTTGCAGCTGTGCGTTCCAGTACCATTTACTACGCACAGCCAGGAAGCCATGCCTGCTCAGGGAGCCATTGTACATTTTCCTCCGGAAAGCCATATGGCATTGGCGCTGAAAAAGCCCTTTCTGTTCACAAACATCTTGAGAGGAGCCTGCTGCACTACTTACCTTCAATGCAGGTGTCTTCACTAAACTTTAAGCTCCTGAGAAAATAAACTCAGTAATTTTCTTTCCCCTTTCTGGCAGTGGTCAGTGCCGGTCAGACATGGGGAAGAAAGCAAGTTTTGGTGACTCGAGCCCTGGTTTTCCCTAGTAGCCTGGCTTCATGGTAGTGGTCCCTCAGGGGTGCTGCTCTCTGCTTCCCTGGTTAGGAGGCCATTGGTAAATTCATACCAAGGTTTATGTGGCTTAGAGTAGCACTGCTTCCCAGAAGGACGTTTTTTACACTGCTTCTTTTCAACACAAATTGCACTTGATTACAAAATGTTTACCCTTTTTTTCTCAACAATTACTGTTTTTAGGTTGCATTACTGGCAAGATTTTTCTCTACAAAATATACTGATGCACCCTCAAGCTTAATATTTTGTGATTTCTTAAATTTTCAGACTCAGCTAGTTTGCCTCTAGGCTGTCCAAATCAAGCAGAATGAATCTAAAGGAGACTCTGATCCACAGGGAGAAGTTTGAGCTGATGCCACCCAGTGCAGCAGGTCTCTGGCCAGGCTGCCACAGCCCAGACACCCGAGGCTGTGCCTGCTAGTTCCCATGGCCCTGCTCTTTCCATTTAGGGACATTCTGAAGACCCAGCTGAAGGAATGGGCATCACCTTGGCCTGCTCTGGAGTGCAGCTCTGCTGTAAAGTCATCACTGTACAGTTGCTTGCTTTGATTTGCCATCAGAGAGCTAGGTGTTACATGCTTTATCTCCTAAATTCCCTGGCAAGATACTCATAAAAGTTAAACAAAGTGGTAGACAGGCATCTGTCTGTCTCAAAGCCTCTGCAGAAAAAGGCTGAAACTACAGATTTTGTTTCACAGGTGACAGAAATTGATATTAAGCCTTATCTCAACAATTAGCTACAGACTTCAAAGCAAATTGTTTTTGTCAGCAGAAATAGATGGATAGGTTTCATTTTGTTTGGTACAACCATAAATGGTTATAATGACAAAAACTGATTAAAAAACCCCAATTGTCTAGACTCACTCAAGTTTAGACATTCTTTGTAAAGAATGAAAGACTATAAACAACAAAATAAACTGAATAAAATATTTCAAATTACTTTTTAAATATGTGAAGGATACAAAAACAGAAGGAAATGCATTACTTATAAAAAAATCCACTTAAAACTGTACAGAAGTTTGGTTTTTTAACTATCCTCAGTTACAGGTAGAACTTCATATTGCAATAACGGGAAAATTGAAATCTGTGTTTGTTCTTCAGCTGTGTGCATTTGCAATGCTACTTACACTTCTATTTCACATGAATAGTCAATATTTTTCACTGCTGCTTTCTTGATTCTTTCACAATGCAGCAAGTAAAGAAATGATAGCATTCTCCCCCTCACAGCCCACAAGAGTAAAACTTGTAAGAACTGGCAGCAGTTAGACATGGTGATTAGTAAC